GAGCTCTGATGCCGTGCACGCGGTCTGCTGACCCCTAATCACATGACAGCTTTTACTTTAAAATCCAGTTTATCCCGTTTGGAGAGTCACAAAGAAGCAGCTGCAGCGAGTTCTCGGGGTGAAGAGCGCCCCCGTGTGGTAAAGAGCTGGAACAGCTGAGAGCTCGCCGTCTCACACACACATTTACATCCATGACACACTGACCTGGACACGCTTAGGCTTCTGTGAGATGATTATGTGCGTGCGGCTCGCGCGTGCGTGCGGGTGTCACGTTCCCGTACATGCTAACGTTGACCCTGCTCTCTGTCTCCAGGTTGCTGCATTACAAAGAGTTCTGAGGGGCGGAGCTTCGAGCAGGAATCAGACTGTTTCTGTAAATACTGAAACCTGCAGAGGACCAATCAGCTGCAGGAGGCGGAGTTTGTTTTATTGTTTGTATGATGTGATTTCATAAAGACTCAACGAGGATCCCCGACGTCGTTCTGAACCGTTTCAAATAAAACTCACTAAAAATCATCAAAACACAAAAATGTGAAAGAAAAAACATTTTGTGTGGATTTGTCATCGTGGAAAAAATGTTTTTGTTTGTCTTAAAAACAAAGTTTCATTTTGAGTTCAGATAAAATCTTTTATTGATAAATAACATCGCAGTGAGCTTTAAAGAGGAAGTCTTTGAGCTGCAGGTTCATAATAACTGTAGAATCTCATCACAGAAATCACTGATTAGCTCATCGTCTGATAAACACACACACACACACACACACTCTGTATAATGGGTCACTATGATAGATATTAGATAATATTATTCCACAGTGTGTCTCATAATTCCTGACATGGTGACGTCTCCACTGATCGACTGGTTGATTTGATTTGATTACATCAAGTGAATTTAGTGATTTTTGAGCTGTTTTGGCATCATTGAGCTTCCGTACAGCAAACAGCTGTTTCATGATGAGTCAGCATTGAGGAAGTTGCCGAAGTGACCAATCAGATGACGGGAAGATCACGTCAAACTGGAT